TTTCGTAAAAACGGTCATAACACAATCCGCAGTTCTATATTTTTCAAAACGGCTTCTTTTCAAGTTCATAAAACTCTTTCGTCTATAATAATATCCTAAATTCTCTGAGCTGCCATGACCGGTTTCGTCCGGACTAAGGGACTCATTCAGATGGCTTATCTATTCTGAATTTTCAAAAAGAAAATCCAAAACAAGATGTATCTTCAGTGTTACAAGAAGTCGAAACTTAACTTGTAATAGAAGAATTAATACTATAGACAGTATCTCTGAGCTGCCATGACCGGTTTCGTCCGGACTAAGGGACTCATTCAGATGGCTTATCTATTCTGAATTTTCAAGAAGAAAATCCAAAACAAGATGTATCTTCAGTGTTACAAATGCGAAATGGTTTTGTGCTGGAAGAAGTGAAGAACACTGATATAGGCATTTGAATGTTGAAGCTGTCATGATTCGGATTTTATCCCTATTCAAGGTACTCCTCAGGTGTTTGAAAAGCTACTTAATTCTGTACCAATTAAGAAACTAATACAATTATCATCTGTACTGTCGTATAACCACAAATTTTAGACGAACGTTTAGATAAATGAAACTGTGGTAAAAGCTACCATGATGTAGAGATTTCAATCTGAGGAACGGGAGTCATGAGATGGCAATTGTCTGGTTTCAAAAATATGGAGAATAGGAGGACTTTAAGTTATAGGGTTAACAAATCACGTGAAAATGTATCAGAAATTACAAGTTTGCTGTTCCCCCTTCTCATACGAAAGAAACTAGACACGAAATGATTTCTAAATTGAATGCAAATTTGCAAGATATATTTGATCAATTAACTTCGTAAAGAACATAATGCCAATCTTTCGAATATATTTTTTCTATAGTTCCAATGAGCCTTTCATTCGATTAGTATGATACACACATTCTACTGAAGATTTTAACGATGCAAATAAATCAATGATTATTAAAATACAACGACCTAAGTAATGTCATAAGGAATTTGTTTCTGTTTTATCTAATAAAATGCTGCGAAACATTGATCAATGTTACTATCTCTTTACGATAAAATGAAGCAAGCAAACTACTTTTGGTTTTATATTTTCTGTTCCTTTTCAATTCTTTGAAGTAATTATTTTATGTGACTTGTCTATACTTAGCGACAATTCAACAGGTACGTTTCATGTGTACAGTTTGTCATAAAAGAAAAGAAAAATAATATCAAAGTTTCATTCCGATGTACATTGACTGAATAGACGACCATGAAAGATTCAAAATTCATTTATTTATTTTCACTACTCCATATTTTCGGAGAGCTCTTTGTGCCTATTTTTTGTTCTTTCCTTTCGATTTAAAATCGATAACATACAAACGTTTGTATGTGTTTTCGTAGCCTTATAGATGCTTCTTTACATTCCAGATTCATGAAAAAATACACAATCATGATTTCGTTGCTATCCACGTTGAGTGTATTTGATTTTTGTATTCCGTAATGCTTTTTCTTTCTCTTTTCTATTCGCTTTTCTTCATCATGATACTTTGAATTTGTTTTAAGTCGCTCTGATTACATTCTTTTTTCAAAACTATTGACATAAGATTTCTTTTTTGTATTAGAAATTTATAAAAAAAATCATCTTGAATGCTTTGCTATCAATGATTTTTCTTTTCATGTTTTTCTTTCATTTTCTCTCGTTGTATTTGGTTTACTTTCCTATGCAGAATGTAAGCTTTCAGAAAATGGTACACTGTAAAATATTTTCTGTAAAGATATCAGCTTACATTCTTGGTTATAGTATATCTGTTAAATACATGGGTAATGGTTGCCTTTTCTTCTAAATTCTTGACTGAAAACATATTATTACTATTTCGTCTGAGAACTGTATACGTATCTAAGATTGATCCTGGTAATTCACTGTTCAAGATGATTTTTGGAATCCCTCAATCTAAATCAATTTGTACTCAGTAGGTTGACAATTTTTGAAGTACATATGACAATCGGATACAAAT